AATTGTTCATAATCTGATTTTATATCTTTGAATTTGGGGCGTCAGCTGAGTCAGTGGGAATGGTTGATGGCGAAAATTCGAGGTGTGATATTTGTCACACGGTCGAATTTTCGCTGATTTTTGCTCTACTTTTATATTGCATTTTAAGTAGTCCGAGTTATTTGGCGTGATTTCGGAATTGTCGAAAGACAATTTCGAAATCACGCGTCGGTAAATTTTCCTCAATGTTGAAAGTGGCCTGAATTTTTTTATAAATTTATGGATATCACAGGTATTTTTCCCGCTTTTTGCAGTAACCTTGCCGCCATCTACGGTCCACCCCTCTCTCCACAACTGGCATACTGAGCGACCCCAGGACCGTCACCATTCCTCAAAAGCCTAATTATCTTTTCCGTTTCCTTCAAGTTTCCTTCTTGATTTTAGAGTATATTTTTGATTTAGAGCTTTAGGAGGTTGAGGTACGATTTTCGATACAATGAATTTCGACGTTAGTTAAGTTTAGGTTTACAGAATGTTCCGGTTTGGTAATTCCGGTTAAAGATTACCTGGCGCCCATTTGGTTAAATTTTAGCAGGTTTTATTAGGCTTAGGGGAAGTAGGGCGAAGGTAATGGGCATTTTCCATTCCCCGGGGTAATGTCACGTTACAAATCAAAATCCAAATGTTACGCGCCAGGTCATTTAACGGAATGACCACCGTCGAAATCCTTCTACACTTTCAGCTTCAACTGCTCCAGTAGCTCATCACGTAGAGATTTGAAAATCAGAAGCTGAAGGGGGATGTAACTGGGATTTTCAGCAAAATAAATAAAATATAATATTGTCGGGGAGAACAATATTTAATAAAAAAAACTAGTCTGTATACAATAAAAAAAATTTATAAAATAAAATCCCCTTAAATCTAGTAAGCGTTACAAAACACACAATTTAATTAACATGACGAAATCAGTGTCGTCTAGATAGAATCAAATAAATATTTCTGAAGTCAACCGAACAAAAAAAATAAATAAATAATGTTAAATTAGTCAAATGAGTCAGAAATAAATAATTAATAAACGACTGAGTCACAAGACTCAAGATGTTAATGTCAGTAAAGAAAAAATAAATTAGTTAAAACAACTGAATCACGAAACTCGAGTTGTTAAAGTCGGAAAAGTCATAAAATTTAATCAGAAATGAATTCTATAAATTGTCGAAATAATTCAGTGGCTCGAAACAATAACGGGAAAATCGATAAGTCTACGTGACCTCGAACAATCAAAAATACACATAATAAATACAAAACTAGAGACAAATAATTCCATAGTCACGAGACCTTGAAACTACTCAAATCGAAATTAAATTCAAGGACGAGAAAAGAATGAGTTTTACGACACAAATTATCGAACAACAGTCGCAAGGCTACCCAGAAAAATTTAGCTAACAAATATAATACAAAATAAATCGAGCCAATTATCAGAACGAGAGAGAGAGAGAGCCAAAAATCGCTGAGAGAAGTGGCCGGAGATTCACTGATAAAATAATTAACGAATAGTCCTTCAGGACTCGGGTGTACGTAAGACCAAATATCATCAAATATCAAAATTTACAAAATAAGAACGGCCACCACGTTCAGCCAAATCTCCAAGAACATCTCCTCAAAACCCTCGAACTCCTCAAAAAGCCCAAAAAAACGGATGATTATAATGTACGGCGTCCCTCAAACTTAGTTGGCGTCCTTGATCCAGAATGTTTACACTAGGTCCGCCTCAATTAACCACCAAACGGGAAGTGATTTTCGTAAACACGTGAAAATTCGCAACACGTAGGTAACGCGGTGATATTAGGTAATGGTGGGGGTGACAACGTCATCATTCACCAATCCCACTCAAACAGACACGCGTAACAGAACAATTAATCATAACGCATGCGCTATTAATTTCAGCAATGCTTAAATCAGTTGATTAATTGTGATTAATCCATATTAACATATCCTAAACGCATCCTATATAACTTAGAATACACCCTGCGTCTTCCGTTGCCCTGAGAGAAATAATTCTCTCACATCAATATTGAATGAATATTTGATGATCTCCAACAGCCATGTGCACGAATCTCTGCGTCACTTCCGGTGTCAGGGTGACTGCATTCTAGCTCATCTATCGTCACATTCTTAGACAACGGCAAAGAGTGGGGGACGAAGATCATCAGTGAATAGTTTAAAATGAGATGTAGTGCTTATACATGATAAGATGGCCGTAACGACTGAAGTAATTACGTAATTATCAATCGATGCATTCAATCCATAATCCACTTACGAATTTATGACTTGCTAAGGAAATGCTAAAATATACTTGTAATTTTTTACTGTTCCCGGCAATGTAATGAGACTCAGTGAATCGAAGGGGAAAAATTAGGCCCGACAAGTTGACTTTTTCCGAATCAATTTCCTATGGACAGGGTTTGAAACAGTATATTTTGTCATTAGGCCGAAAAAAACTTTCCTAGCGAAGATGAGGTTTGCAACAATCATATTGGTCGACAAATTTTTTTTGGCCGTATGAGGGCCACTATTTTTTGTCATAACAGCCGAAGTCAGCGTTTCGTGGACGCGAAGCAAAGCAACGCAGCCGTAAAATACTGTCTTACAGCCGGAATGACAAAAGCCTTTATTAACAATAATCGATTTTCCAATCGGAAGTAAAACTGCGGAAAATTGTCCTAGTTGACGCTGTCAGCATAAACTTGGCATTTTTCAATATTTGCATGTTTTT